AGCAACGTTCCTTCCCAAAGCGCGGCAGATAGAGAAGTCGTACAACCTGATTTATGGATTAAGGAAACAACTTATGGTAGCGTAAAACACCTCGATGAGTTGTAAACAGACCGGGAAAACGAGCAGTCTCTGACTCATGATAAACACTAGTCTGCCGGTATGTATTCAACTGCTAATTAATTTCGGTACATACCGGTACAAACTGAAATTAGCCTAGCCTGCTACAGTATAATCGACAAGTAATTTGTAATTCATCAGATACAGATGTGCATTAGCCCATGGGAACACTGACTGAAACTGATCCGCGCTTTAGTTCAAGCTGCTAGATTTTTTGGCGAAATTATCACCTAAGACTATGCATAATCCCAACGTTTATGTACAAAAATAGGCTGACAATGCCTCATGCGGTTATGATGGCAAAATATCAGTTTAACGGTGTGGACTAAACGAGTCAATTTCATTTCGTACCGGTAAACATGGATTACAGTAACATGCTCCTGAGTAGCTGCGGTGTATAAGTAGGCCCGTTAGGACCGCTGAAGCAGCTGTCAATAACAGCAGCGGTGCCGGGATTGAATTGACATCTTATGCCTCATATTTTGAAGGATGTTTTAATTAAAAGCTATCGTAGAAGGGTTGCGGGCAACTGTTCTATATCAGCATCAGAAGAAAACTGCTGTGACGAATTTTCATCATATCATACTCCTTAACCCTTAAAAAATTAACAGCTTTCCAAGTACAAGAAAGGAAGACTTTTACGGAAGTGAACAAAATTTAATATCATAGGAATCATAGATTTTGTGACCCAAACCGATCATTAAATTCAGGTTCAGAGAATGATAATTATGGAAAATCGTCTGGTGTGCTTCTCATAGTCTATTACATAGAAAGATATGCCTTATATCGATAAGGTGACTTTTCATCTCCGGCTGCCACGGTCTTGCCTTTTTATGTAGTACGAAATACGAAAATACAATGTAATACCTGTACAAAGAGAAACATCAAATGAAATAATCATTTGAACAAGAGTGTCAAAAATATGGCACGGATAAAAGATGCTAAAATTATGCAAAATTATACAATATCCGTACTTTTCCACCATCTTACATCCCAAAGCAGCAGTTTCTCAGCCACAACGAGATGGTCTGGCAAAACACCACTAAAAGGTTCCTCGAACGGTATTTTATTCATCAGTATATCACAAACGACGGGCACCAATGACGCTAAAGAAAGTTAAAAATTCATATTAGACTGCATGAACAATAAGTTCCTTCGAGAAATAAACAACTTGCACAGTCATAACAAATTAACTGCAACTCAAATAATAAATCTCCTCAACCTTTCTTAATTCAACTGACTTTGGCCGCAACATCAGATACTCTTTTATCATACGCCGACGTTTCGGCTTCTGACACAAAAGCCACCATCAGGGAAATTGTTCACAACACAAAGATACAGCATACAGTTCAATAGTAAAGTGCAAATAAAACCTCACTGTTGAACTGAATACAATATGCGTGCTGCAATTTCCCTGATGATGGTTTCTGTGCCGGAAACCAAAACGTTGGCATAAAATAAAGGAGTATTTTATGTTACGTCCAAAATCATTTGCACTTTGAAAAAGTTGGAAGATTTATAACCCTGACATGGGTTAAAAAATGAGATTCTTAAAATACCATGCAACAAATATGACTTATCTCAGGAAAACACTGAGCACCCTTAATGTGCAGCCAGTAGGGTGTGACAAATTACTAGCAATGGCGAATGATTTGTGAGCCACATCAACACAAAGAATCTTTTCAGAACTTAAGAATACCGTTATAAGAAAAGATTTCATTCATAAAACAGAGGATACGATGTTGTAATGTTGCATATGGGATAACATCGGGGTCTCTCGTTTGGTAGGGCGTCAGACTCAGAACCGAGATGTTTGAAGTTCAATAGCCCATCGAGGTTACTCGTTTTCTTCATCCTGAGGTTCATAAATGAGTACCACTTTGTGGGAAGGAAGCAGAAGACTACATATCATGCTTCCCACATAGCTGCTGTTCACCAGACGTTTAAAATGAGGCACTCTTGGCTGATGGCATGAAAATGCAGACCAACACCCGATCATTAACTTCAAGAATGGAAAGACGAGACATAAAGCCTCATCATGAAAGTGTAGCTACGGAAGACCGACGTTCGAACGGATTCAAATTACCCTTCCCTTGAAGGGATAAGGAAACCAAATTTCGACTGAAAGCGGCAGCTCACTTTACAAATGGAAGGATGAAGAACACTCTCAGATAAAATTGAAATCTGATTTCGAAACCGTATGCCGCATTTATGAATTAATTCTTTCCTAATTTCGACTTGCAAAATGGTTTCCACAGAACTGATTAATCTTTCAGCTGAACTACAGAAAGAAAACGAAAGAGGCAGAAAGCAAAAACAAAACGTACGCAACTCGCTGCACACCGAGCTTAACCAACCGATCATAACTTGAGCAAACTGCTGACTGGCGAACACTGGCGCACGCAGAGTCTCAACACGGAGTGGTGAGCCGCTGTCCCTCGTTTTCTGCTGAACATTATCATGATCCGCAAGTGCCATATTCATAATAAGACTTGCTGCATACTTCGATCATGTTCCTCGCTTTCTCGCAGTAAGCTTTGGTGCCAAAACACACACTGGTTCGTCCTTCGAGATCGACTTTGGTCGCAAGCATCATCGCCTGTTCTTTACCGCAATCGATCGCTTTCATAAGAGCCCTGATCACCTGGTCGTACGAGTGGCTTTCGTCGTTGTACAGCACCGTTTGATACTGATCGTGTAACCTTGGAACCGATAATGACCTGAAGAACGACATAAGGTGAAAAGAACCAACATTTTAGCGACGTTCCACGAGAGGCTTGGCGCTAATTTCCTAAACCTCTACCTGAAAGTGAGATCGGGAGGCAAAGTAAACGGCTTCGGCCAGCTGAGAAGATCCACGCAGTATTTCACAACGCACGTCAAGATGACTTTCATCCGGATAAGCATGGCATCAGACAGGCACCCCGTCGTCGATGGCATTTGCATCCTGTTCTGGCGATTCGCAGCTATGGAGCACAGAGGGTCTGCTTTCCAAGCCTCTTTATCGCCGCAATCACAGTATCCGCTACCGCTGCTCGTAGAGATCTGAAACAGGTGCATAGCAACGAACAACTCTGCAGAGTGCTTTCATGGAAGAAAATCTCTTTAATATTTAGACTGTTCAGATAAAGCTACGTACAAATACGGCGCACCATATGATTCAACGTAAGAATAATCAAAGGGAACTTGACTCTGCCGTCTGGATTATCTGTAAATAGTCATG